GCTAGTACTATTAGGTTGGAGGCCATCGCTACTAGGTGGAGGCCATCATCACTACTAGGTTGGAGGCCATCGCTATTAGGTTGGAGGCCATCGCTACTAGGTGGAGGCCATTGCTATTACGTTGGAGGCCATCGCTAGTACTATTAGGTTAGAGGCCATCGCTACTAGGTGAAGGCCATCACTATACTAGGTTGGAGGCCATCGCTAGTACTATTAGGTTGGAGGCCATCGCTACTAGGTGGAGGCCATCGCTAGTAGGTTGGAGGCCATCGCTACTAGGTGGAGGCCATCGCTACTAGGTTGGAGGCCATCGCTACTAGGTTGGAGGCGATCGCTGCTAGGTGGAGGCCATCGCTAGGTGGAGGCCATCGCTATTAGGGTGGAGGCCATCGCTACTAAGTTGGAGGCCATCGCTACTAGGGTGGAGGCCATCGCTACTAGGTTGGAGGCCCTCACTATTAGGTTGGAGGCCATCGCTACTAGGTGGAGGCCATCGCTACTGGGGTGGAGGCCATCGCTAGTAGCTTGGAGGCCCTCACTAGTAGGTTGGAGGCCATCGCTACTAGGTGGAGGCCATCGCTATTAGGTTGGAGGCCATCGCTCCTGGGTGGAGGCCATCGCTACTAGGGTGGAGGCCATCGCTAGTAGGTTGGAGGCTGTCACTATTAGGTTGGAGGCCATCGCTACTAGGTGCATGGAGGCCATCGCTACTAGTGTGGAGGGAACGCTAGTAGGTTGGAGGCCGTCACTATTAGGTTGGAGGCCATCGCTACTAGGTGGAGGCCATCGCTAGTAGGTTGGAGGCCATCGCTACTAGGTGGAGGCCATCGCTAGTAGGTTGGAGGCCATCGCTACTAGGGTCGAGGCCATCGCTACTAGGTTCGAGGCCCTCACTATTAGGTTGGAGGCCATCGCTACTAGGTCGCTAGTAGGTTGGAGGCCATCGCTAGTAGGTTGGAGGCCATCGCTACTAGGTGGAGGCCATCGCTACTAGGGTGGAGGCCATCGCTAGTAGGTTCCAGGCCCTCACCATTAGGTTGGAGGCCATCGCTACTGGGTGGAGGCCATCGCTAGTAGGTTGGAGGCCATCGCTACTAGGTGGAGGCCATTGCTACTAAGTGGAGGCCATCGCTACTAGGGTGGAGGCCATCGCTAGTAGGTGGAGGCCATTCCTATTAGGTGTTGTTTTCTTTTTTGCCCTGCCTCTCCTTGCAGAAGAACACTCTCGATTCCATGAGCACCAAGAAGCTTTCCAGCCTACCATAACTGAAGTGACCAGAACCAGCACGCGGGTGCCCAGCCTCACAGTCGTTGCAATGACCGTCACCTGGGTGTGGCATGTAAAAGGCCACAGGTATGTCGCATTGAACATGACACAAATATGAACAAATTAGCTGCTCTTCTTCTTGCATGAGTTTGACAGCTCAGGCTCATGCTGTGAGAATGTGCATGCCCATGGCCACCCTCTTCGCGCTCCTCAACTTGAATCTGGTCAGGATTATTAGAACTATCATGATCCTTGTGTTCTTTGCCTATTCCCGTAGAAAGCAGCGCCACTATGTTTTGTTGAACACAGTGCACTGACTGTGTGGTCCAGGGCCACAATTCATGTGCCAAGCACACTTTTCAGAGACAGAAAACATGTGTTTGGCTTGCCCGACTTCTCACGCACCTCCAAAACCGGAAGCCCAAGCACCGATGCCGCTAGTCCTGGGTTAAGCCAAAAATCATCACCTATCCACCACACGAATCTCGGAAAAACACTCCGTTTTGAGTTTTGAGTGCTGCAAATGCTTACCACACATAACTCTACAAAAGACTGGAATGCTGGCAATGACACACCTACTGCTTGAAACTATCTACATCACAAGGAAGCAAGAACAAAACTGAGCCTAACTAAGGCCCACGCTGTCTTTGTCGAAAGCTTGTAAGCCAAGAATTTCTCCCAAAGGCCTTGAGAAGCAAATCTTGTACAAGACTGTCTGTGCTGTGTTGCTTAGTCACAACCTGAGCATGGAGCACTTCTGCAAAGCGGCTTTCCAACAGCCTCCAATGCCAGCGACAATCAACATAACGCAGCGAGGCGACAAACAGCGCAGCGAAGCACAGCATAGCCTTGCTGTTGGATTTATCTCTCGCAACATGGCAGCGGCTCGTGCTCGATCTGCCTGGAACGCAACCAGCATGACTTTTGCTCTCGGCAAATCACTACACTGTGCCTCTGCCACAAGATCAACTTTGTTCAGAATGAGTACGTCAGCGCAAGCCACCTGATGGAAGGTTCCACTCCATCAAACCAGCCATAGAAGCGAAAAAAAAAAAAAAAAACAAACCAGCCTGCTTGATTGCTTCTGCCTCGAGCCCAAGACTTGTGCTCTTGGCGCCCTCTTCAGGATAGCCTTAATGCTTTTTGCCAGTTTATGCAAAATTTTGCCACCATGTTCCAACTGACCTGCATTCTCAGAATCCAGCCATGGCTTGCCTTCCTCTTGCCCAAATAGGACGACATGTTGTATGCATCTACCAGCGAAAGGACGCCATCGAGGTAGACCCGACCTCAACTGCAAGTAGTCCACGTGCAAAAGCAAGAAGCCAGATTCAAAACCACTCTGGTTCCACCTCTTTTGTGTGCTTCTGCTTTGCCTCTTCCATCCTGCCTAGTTCCAAGTTCTCCACTTCCGAGTCCCTCGTCGACCCAGAATACCTGCAGAATGACAGAATGAAGAGTGAAATGGACTGGAGTCGCTACCAAAGGAACACACATCCCAACGCCATGTCACACAGGCCACCCACACCCGCGGACATTGCAGCAAAAAACTTTGCGATTTACCCGTGGGCCCGCGCAGAAAAGTAATTGAAAACAAAAGGATACAAAAGCCCAACCAAAACATGCGCAATGACCAGAAGCCAAGTTAAGAAAAAAACATAATCTGTCACAGCCAGTCGCAGGCAACAATTCTGTCCAATGCAAGTCAAGTGTGAACCAATTTGAGTCCAGATATGAAAGTTCAGCAACAGTGGCCCAAACGGAGCAAAGCATGAATCGTTTGGCCTATTGGCGGCTTTTGAGCTTTGTCACTTGTTTGGTCTATTTAGACTGACTTACTTTAGTACTCTGTTTGTTGGCATAGGCAGCTAGATTGATCATAAGTAGCTTTAAAGTAATTTTGAAAATGCAAAGAAAACAAGTGTGTATCATTAGCACCACCTGCTTCACTTTACTTGAAAAGAAATTGTTTCAAGCCTCACATACGGCTTCAGGATCGGCTATCCCAGTGGCCTGTTCTTGGACAATGCGCTTGACGCTGACTCACAAGCAACTCCTCGTTGCCTCGACCAACACGTAGTCGAAGCGGTTCTTGTGTTCAAGCAAAACGTCCAACATGCCAATCAAACCATCCTCAGAGAGGAGTACAGCTACGAAGCACATGAACTGCAAGTCAAGGAAAGCTGCCTTGGCAGAACAGCAAAGGCATCCATTTGGAAGCTCGTACACGTCCTTTTCAACGCGCAAAAGGATGGCCTATGAGCCATCCCAGCGAAGCTGAAGCAAAGTGAGGTCACATAAGCACTGCTTCCTCATGTCTGCGTTTTTGGTATTTCTCAGTCCTTGATGGTGTCGCCGTTTGCATCAGTGAACAAAGGAGCCTGACGAGCTATGTTCAAGGCTTCAGCACAGCGACCAGCCGCAGGCTCACATAGCTTCTCACCTCCATTCCCATCTCTTCTGAGAACCTGTCAGGCTGGTGAATGAAGGACTCATCAGCTTCCAAGGATCTGCTGGGGTTCACACTCATTCTGGATCACGGCTACTCTGTATCCGTGTGGCTTTTCTAAGATGTACCTGCTAGCTCGTATTGAACAGTCTGGAAACACAGCAAGCCAATCAAAACGGCCTTAGCAGGGTAGTCTTTCCAGCTCCAAGCACGCCAGTGAGGACAGTGACCGGAATGCGCACCTCCCAATTGCCAGAACTCATTGGGCCCATATGAGCCTCTCAAATGCCACAAGCCTGGGAGGCATCCTCACCTCAGCACCAGCTACGGCCTAGCGTTAAAAAGATCAGACACTTTGCGTGGGGGACCCCACAATGAACAACCAGCAGAATGGCCAGCCCTAGGTTGCTTGGAAATCATCATACTTGTGTACATCGTACTTAACCACAAGCAGCATTCGTGCTGGAGGTGGGATCAAAATATTGGAAGCAAAACAGGTCCGGAGGCAAGCGAGGCAAGTCATTTGCACATTAGAGTCTGAAGCAACATCTTGCAACTGGACTTCAACATGGGAGATTCAGCAAGACAAAAGCCCATCAGAAGCAAGGAGTGGTCAAAGCTAAGGTAAAACAAGCGGCCTGAACTGCCCACTTTTTCCCACAAACAAGTGTAAGCGGTTGGAGGATAGAAGTGAGGGTTCAAGTTCAGTTGAAGAAGCATACACTGCGTGTGTCAGCAATGGTCCAAATTGGCCCCACAGAGTCTGTCATTTTCTGAAAAGCTGAGATCCTTGCTAAGCGAAGCGTCCATTCCAATCCATGGAGCTCTGTGAGTGGTGACCCCTCAAATCCCGGGAGCTCGTAAGGCTCATGTGTTCTGGTGTTCCTTTGTGACTAGTAGCGATGCCCTTGGCTCCTAGTAGCGTACTTTGTTCCTAGTAGTAAGGCCAGGAGCTACTAGTAGCATCCTTGCTCCTAGTAGCGATGCCAGGAGCCGCTAGTAGCAATGCGCTTGTTCCTAGTATAGCGTAATATTCCGGCTTCAAGAGTTGATCGTCCACATTAGATCGCTATAGTTGACCATCTTCCTAACAACGGTTGTGGCTTGAAGATTTAGTGTGTTGGAAACTGAAGCGAGAAGTGAGTCAAACTAAGGGTCAAAGAATGAATTGCATGTAATGTGCACCATGATACTTGCTTTCGCTGTTTTGGTTGCAGTAGCTGACAAAGGTGAGCCACAGCCAGAAAAAACAACAAAGATCTATGCCCAGTGCCAGAGGTTGAGCAACATGTGAGACACCATAGGCTGTACTTCCCTGGCCTCGTTGCATACCTTACAGAGTGAATATCCATATCCTGCAAGTTGTGAGTATCGTTTCTGGCTTTCGAAAGCACAGCAAGCAGCAGTCCTGCAATATCTTCACGAATTCCTGGAGCAAACATGAGCTTGCAGCGTGACTCGAAATGACATGACAAGTGAAATCCCTTGGTCCGAGTCCTACTTCTGCGGACTGTGGACTTGGAAAGACTGAGGGCATAGCGTTTGAATTTGAGCTGGTTTACAGCAGAGGAACTTGCACTTCTTAGACATACTAGAACTGAAGCTCTGCGGTTTCTTCCACCTATGGCGCGGTCAGCCATGACTTCCGCTCTTCCCTCTGGTTTGCTTTTGTGCGAGTGAGTTATGGAGATGTTCAATTTGCCTTGATTGGGCCAATATCTTTCAGACAACATTTGATCACAAAACCCTTCTCCTCAAATTCCAGATTCTGAGAGCCATCAGTGTCCTGATCAATCGCTTTCTTACAGCGCTGCACTACCCAAAGGCCGTTTGGGCTCGCTCCATATCACTAATGAGCTGGTAGATGGTCGTGTTGTCCGCCTTTCCAACAGCAAATCTTGTTTCCAAAGTGACAGTGTGAAGAGATCAAACTTGCGGGCCTCGAAGCCCAAAGCTTTCATCTGCATGCGGATTTCCTGCAAAGAAGGTGAAAAGCCAATCACAACAACTCACTCAATCATGATTCTGTTGAGAAAGAATAATTCCTGCTGAAGCAAACAACACGATTCACACTTTTCCACCCCAGAGCCACTTCCACTTGAAGCGAACCAAGACCACAGGAGTTTCATCGGGTCTTCCACCCAGCTGCAAATCGAGAGAAGAGCCCCAACGGTGAATTGATGCTCAAGTTGTCGTAGGAGTCCATCACAATTCCGACTTCGAGGTCGCCAAACGCTCGGGGATTGACCACGCCAAGTCCCTCAAATGCTCAAGACCCTGAAGGGTCATCTGTTCAGCTCATTTGGCGTCACTGGAGTCTCCGCAGTGCAGCATAAATCTCTTCAAGCCTCCCATCAAGCAACACATCATAATCATTGTTCTTCATTTGAAACATTTGAGTCAGAGCAAACAAAGATGTACCAAGCAAACAAAATATCTGACTCTTACCTTTTCTTCATCCGCACAACGAAGTGACGGCCACCACCTCCATAAAGCCGATTGTGAGCCTTGCGAATCAGATTGTGAGACAACGCTCGTGCACGCTCAACAAGAACTAGAACTGGCCTCTTCAGCTTCCCGCAGCGCCTTTCACTGACAGCTCATCGACTGTGAAACTTCTGAGACAGCAAAGCCTGCGAGGCCTGCCTCCTTTAGGTCCGGTCTAGGAGAAACTTGAGGCGTGGAGAGTGTCCACCTACAAACGGGTAATCTGTTTGTCACCGTGGACTGATCCACGGTATCCTAGTTGTGGCCTTGCCATACACTGAGCCAGCATCATCGAATACTTCAATTCATACCTTACGCTCGGTGGATTCCGTAAGGCTTCGTGGACCGATCCCGGCAGAGACCACCCTGCGCTGAGCGTGCAGCTCTGAACTCGGCGCAGCCAAAGCCACAAGTGATGCACAAGTTCGGAAGGCATGAACCTCATTTCGACGGAAAAGTTTGTCTCGTTCGAATGGAGAAAGTTGCTTGAAAGACCAAAGTTGCATCTGCATCTGACCAAAAGACTCTGTGCCAGACTGCTTCGGGAAACAGGCCTGCTTCCTGCGCAGCCTTAGTCATACAGGATGGGAGACCAAATGAACAAAGCCTTCAAGGCTTCAGCCATAGCCAAGCCATGATCTCCCCAAAGGAATTGAGACCTTCACACTGTAGAAAGCGTGGAAACATGCCAGGCACCATTCTGATGATATGCGAACAGAATTCAGAAAGGTTTTGAAGAAAACACAAGACTTGGCAATTCAGAAACGTTCGGAAGAAAACACAAGACTTGGCAATTGTCGTTTCTACCTACACAGGTGCGGTTTGAGAACTTGCCTCCATACCTTGCGCAAATCAGCTGGTAGAGACTCTTCTGCCTTCTCAATCGAGGCAAGTGCCTCACACAACGATGCAGCCCCAATTGAGTTGCAAATAGATCAAACCAAGGGTCTTGCAGAGCCCATCCCCTTCACCACTTCCACCATTTTACTCTTGGCTCCACCTGACCCAACAACTAGCTGTGTGCCCACTTGTCAGAGTCTTCCAGTGGAGACCCGGTGATGGATCTCGATTAGCACGTTTGTCCATTATGGAGCTTTGCACAAAGAGTTCGTGCCACCATGACTTCTCATCAGCCATCCACATGTCATGCACAAAATGCCTCGAGCAGCAGAAAACTTTTGAAGCTCCAGCCTTGGCCGTACAAATCCTAATTGGTCTGCTGTCACGACATTTGATATACTCTATATATATATAAAGTACAGGAACACGCAGAAAAACAATGGCGAGCAAGACTTTTTGGGGGATGGACGTTTCGATTTGGATTCTCCAACTTGTGCCAGCTTTCAAAGGTCTTGCACTGATGGGGGAAATACACGCAAGAATTGCGACTATATCGATACTCCTTGTAGCACTTAGAAGAAGGCACACTGAACAAACCAGGTGCAAAACACGCGTGCAGGTGTTGCCAGGGACAAAAGCCAGTCTGCAAAGCTTCCAGAAACAAAAGCAGCAAGTACAGCGGGAGGAGAAAAAAGGGCAGCGACAAAGTCAAAGCCTTGATGGACTTCACAATTCACAATAGCTTGGAAGGTAACAGAAATCAGCGGTGAAGTGCACTGCCGTTGCTATACCAGAAAAGCCGGTGGCTTGCACAAAGAACTTGGTTGTGGTTGTGAGCATATCCCCCCGGCGGTGCCACTGCATGGGCTCCAGCAGCGTCAGTAAGACTTGAACGGCCTTGCTAGGGTGGCTGTAGAGGACAGAAGCTGAGAGGGGCGCAGTATGCATAGCTCAAGAAGCAAGGGCCCCTGGCCGCCACTCGAAAGTGCTACCCAAAAGCCTAACCTCTAAAAAGATCTACGACTCGTGATTCAATTCCAGTGACGGTCCGCCGTCACAGGTACAAGCCTTTTGCATGTGCATGTTGCTATCCAGGGCCACACACACCTGACTAGACCACAAAGGAGTTTCCAATGTGAAGTTGAAAAAGCCAATGGACTTTGAACTAATTACCTTGCTAGACTGCCGAGAGCAATAGGCAATAGCTCACAAATCCTTCAAAAAAGCCGTCGATGCCAGCCTGCTTGACCACAAAAACCAAACAGCCACGACCGACTCTCAACTACAAGACAAAAAAGAGTTCAAACTGGCAAACTACAAGAAAGAAAGCCAACCAGCGCCGCCGCACCGCGACGTGTGCAACAGCAACAGCACCATGAGAGCAAGAAAGGAGAACGTCAAGGCCTTCCAGCATCAAAGACCGGCAGTGCAATGCGGTCCGCATGAGATGCACAAACAGTACCAGAACCGTACCATCAAATGCAACAGCACCAGGAGAGGCACCCAAACACTCACCGGAAAAACAGTTCAGTAAGAACAAGTTGCACGAAAGCTGGTTCTCTAGCTTCACACGACAAGACAGCACGATAACCTGCTTGCTCTTCTGTAAAGTACTCGCAAAGTAAATGTGGCAAGAAGCTCCAAGTCATCAGCAAGCCTTGAAGCAAGGGATGCGTGTGGAGCCTGCAAGTGACTCTTCAACATCTTACACTCTCACTTTCACCCTGCACTGCAGTTGCCTCTTAAGATTGGGATGCAACAAACCACGTAGCTCACAGAAGCAAGACCGTTTAGAATATATAGCCCCTCAGCCCTGCCTCAATGGTGCATCTACAGCAGTGACAGTAAAAGCCGTAGATGCTTTGCAGCCTCAAGTGTTTGAAGCGAATTCCAAACTCGATGGCAGGCTGAGGAAAGCCAAGATACGCACTTGCTCTGCCTTTCACGGAATGTATCAAAGGGATAAACCTCGCACTTCAGCCCGAATTTGAGCAGGGCCAGTAGGCTTCGTGGCTCTAATCACAACTTACCAAGGACCCAACATAGGTATGGAGAAGCTCCTGGAGACCCGACCAACTCCAAAAGTCTTCAAGCCCGACTTGCTTGCTTAAATACCGTATAAGTTCAAAAAAAGAAACACCTCGCCTCACCTTTCTCAATCGGAGCTGCTGCACGAGCCACCAATGTGGAGTGGTCCTGCCACAACGGACAGTGGAGTGGTCCTGCCACACGTGCCAGGCCTACAATTGCACAATTTCTGCAGGCCTTGCCAGCCCCATAGCTGACGACGATGTTACCCAAGCAGGAGTGGTTGAAGAGGGATGCAGCCAGCCACAAACCACCAAGAGATTTCGACTCATCCAGCAGCAAAGTCCAAGGATTCCAGCGTTCGGTTTTCCGGCTGTTCAATGAAACAACTGATGCCACAGACTTCTTTGACTTCCCCCAGTCAGGTGGTGGTTGCTCAAGGCCATTGTAAGTTCCATTAGCTGATTCAGCTGAGTTTAAGTGGTCAAAATACTTGTGAAGCACGCTCTTGCGGAAGCTGGTTTGCTTCCAACCTTCCCAACGTGTTTCTTCATCTTCAGAATGCAAGCACCAAAAGGTGGCCTTGTAAAGCAGCGGTGTGTCAACAGATCCAAGCTTATTGCAGCAAGCCTCCACAAGTTCAGTTTTTGCCTTTTGGATTGGACCGTTTGGTGTACTTGACAGCCCAAAAGAATCCTCAATAAGCACCACTTCGCCTGGACTGATCTTGCAAGTTGCAATCAAACCGAGACCACGACCTTCAAATTCATGTATAGCAACTGGGCCAACATAAGATGGAGCAGAAACTCCTACTTCTTCTCCATAGAATCTTGTCCAATCAATCACCGGTACAGTACGTTGCTCACACACTCTGATTGCGTCAAAGACTGCCACCAAACGCTTGTCGTGCGAAGCACTCCGCGCCATTGCAACTCACCCCTTGTCTGCATGTCGAATGAATGCGTGTGTGTGTCTGTCATTTCGGGGTTGCGTGCATATCAACAAATATCGCTGTAGTGTTATTAAGGAGGGAAAGGTTGTTACTTGGAAAGACTACAAATGCAAAGCTTCACAGTGCCAAGCTTTTCAAGTATTGAGCAAAGAAAGAGAAAAAAAAAACTGCAACAAGTGAATCAAAGGCCATGCCGTCCTGCCTTGGGGTCGATATTGCCACTCCCATCTGCATCAAGAAGTGCAAAAATGTCTTTCATCTCCTTACCATAGCTGAACTGAATCAAGAACTGGTTTCAAAAAAAGGATTTGCCAAAGTTCATCGCGGTGAATATCACACACCGGCTCGTCGTCGTCATCAACCTCAGGGATCTCTCCAGAACTTCCAGATGCATTCCTTGGCCAAATTCATTTTCAGCACAAAGTGTAGCAATGAGTTTCTGCTAATTTGAGATGCCAACATGAAGGGGACATTGGCGTCAGCACATTGCAGCTAGCACAGGGCGAAAAGAATTCTGAACTGTCAATTCAGATTGATGATGTTGCTGCTCTGCAAGTGAGACACTGTATTCTTTGGAGCCATTCGAATTCAGGATAGCGGGTAGCAGTTTGGTGAATTTATTTTTTTTTTCTGAGCCAGCAGTGATGTCACAGCCAACTTTCTGTCAGCATACCCCCCATCCGCCACCTTGAAGCACGGTCGAAATTGAAATTCATCACATTGCTGTTAGTCAGCCTACCGTGCTTCGTGCACTGCTGCATTGCTTTACCCAAGCAACAGAGGTTCTCACAACAAGGAAAGGCCAATTGCCACCCGCCTCAGTCCCTTTTTTTGCAATGTGTGAGTGTTCCGCCTGTATAGCGGACCTCCGCAGTATCCAAGATGGTGGCATATTTGGCTCTTGCGGATCAGACCGGCTCTCTGGCGTGGAAGTTGTTTTTCCTGTTCCATCAACCTTCAAGAAACAAAGAGTGAACAGGGAACTTTACCCCCTTCAGGGAAACTTAAGCTAAAATGGGAAAGTGTGCTCAAGTCTCAAACCCGCCCAAACCACTGAAAGTTCTCTTTGTGTTACTTCCGCCATGCTGCCCTGTTACTTCCGCCATACTACCCTCCTCAACAACAGAGGTTCTCACAACAAGGAAAAACCAATTGCCCACCCGCTTCAGTCCCTTCTTTTGAAAGAAGGAAGACGAAGGGGCAGGTACAAGGATCTTGCCGCCCCCCCCGAAAAAGCAAAAAAAAATAACAATAAAATAAGATAGATGTTTTTGTTGCAAACTTTTTTCACGCCGAACCAAAGCTGGATGCCTGGTTTTGGCAGATGACAAGACCTGCACGTATCATCACCAGAGGTGTTAAGCAGGAATGCCAAGTCTGGTTCCGCATTCAGCACGCATCGCCAGTGAAATCTTCTTCCAGGACAAAAGAACAGCAGGAGGGGGATCAAATGGAAACACATCATTTAAAATTGAACGATGCAATCTGCATGGGCGACATGACAAAAATGACCCATTTGTGTGGCAGGAAGTCGAAACAAGGCCTTCGCCACCGCTGGACATCGTCATTATGTTTTCTTTGACCACGCCTCACGTGGAAAAAGTAAAGTTCACAAAACTGTTTTTGCGGACTCTTTTCTCGAGAGTAAACGGCCTCGTTTGGTACACTTCTTATTTGTGCGGTGTCATCTTGAATGACATGTGAGCACTTGCAACTGACTTACGCACTCCTCCTTTTGAAATGTGAGCTCCTAGATCCACTTTAAACTTCAGTTCAGTGGATTCACTGGATCCATGTAGGGGAATGTTTCTTCCATCGCCCTGTACATTTCCCCTTCAAGTTGTGAGTCTTTGACTCGAACTGCATGGTACCAAAGCGCCTCAATCTTCAAAAGTTCTTCTCTCGCTACTAGGTCTGCCCTCGTCACAGCTTGGTTGTAGACCCGGAATTGTGCCGGTGGGATCTCGACACGATCCGGTTCCCAATCTCCTGTGTGGATCATTGGCGGTCCATCTTGGTAGCTACTGTCAGCCATGCGTTCATCACTTTCTTCTCCTTCTGCAGCTGGAACTGGCTTTGGCTCTGGAGCCATTGGAGTGTCTCGTGATGACCCCACATCTGGACCAGCTGTTGTAGTCTCAACATACTCCACTGGAACAGTAACCACCTCGCCATTGTCCAACCTGATTGAAACAGTGTCTCCACTAAGGTTCTCACCACTCAGATCTTCTTCACCTTCACGTGGTGCAGTTCCAGTAGTTGTAGTTCCACGGCCTTCAACCATTGCTCTCTGGTCAGCTGTGAGGTTGGGAACTCTCCTTCTCTCCAAGCTCCCCCCTCGCTCACCACGAATTCTCTCTTGGTCTCTCCAGCGTTGTCGAAGCCTCAACCCCTCATGGCGTCGATTCACTGCCTCCAGGTACTGCAGGTAGTCCCACTCTGTGCCAGAAACTGAGTTTGCTTCCACATGTCCACCTGCAAAGACTAAGCCTCTGTAGATGCGTTCCATGAAGTCTTGAGCCATTGACTCCTCTCTGCTTTTCGTCTCTTTGCCAGCCTCCAACTGACTGACATAAGCCTGCAACATGTCCACCCTTCTCTCAAGCTTCTTGAGCTTGTTCCAAAGAAGCATTGCTCCAAAAACCAGTGCTCCAATCACGATGATGAAGATCAACATGTTCAAAGGGATCTTGTAATTGGGCTAGATCATCACCATGTCCGTTGTCTCTCCTGCAGCCAGCTCAAGGCCGCTCACCATCATCAACCTGTTCAAAAACTTGGCAACTTTCATGATTTTTCCCTTCTCCACATGCTGCTCTTGGAACTGTTGGTGTTCCTTCTCTCCAACACGTGCTCCATCTCCATCTCGAGCATGGCACCAGAAAAGAAGTAGACGTAGGCGAACTTTGGAAAGAGGTTTTGTGCCGATGTCCGCCAGGCTGTAGGCTGTCCCAATTTGTTTGACCTTTAAGGATCCATTCGCGACTCGATCCTGGCACCATAAGAGTTTGCCACCGATGTGTCCCAATCGCCCTGCTCCCCTCTTGCAAGCAATCTGACGCGTTGCTGAGTTGTCTACCCAGCACACGTGCTGGACCTGTTCTCCAGTGAGGAACTCAATGACATGCTTGAGGCACATCCCATCGCAGGCGCCAGCCACCAGGGCATGTAGTTCACTCTCTACGGAAGAAAGACTAACCACCTTCTGGCCCCTGGAGGTGCTGTAGATGATCATGCCGTTGAGCGCGTGAACTGAATAAGACGTTGACTTCCTAGTTGCTCGATTGCCACTCCAGTCAGCATCTGTGTGGGACTCCAAAATCCAAAGCTCATGGGACCTCATATTGATTCCCTGTCCTCGTTGAGGTGGAGGAAGCAGGATGTGTTGATGCTCTGTTTCTTTCAGGTATCCCACGAACTTTTGCCCCTTCAGGAGTGAAATCTCTGTAGGGCTCGACATTCGACCAGCTGGTTCTTTGACAACAAAGGCCACATCCATTCGCTCCTGGGCTGGGTGAATTCCCATGCCAACTGAGACCGGTATATGGTTGCATCTTCTGGTGAAGGCAAGTTGGACCCATCTGCATCTTGGATGTCTGAGGTCGCCGGTAGTTTGCTTCTTTGCAGGGCCAAAGTGGTCTTCATAGGTCTTGATGATGTTTGAAGCATACTGGCCTGGTTTGATCAGCACACCATCCTCCACGTAGATGTACTTCCTCTTCAAGAACGAGAACTCTTGCCCATACTCTTTGACCATTGTCATGTCAACTTCAAACTTCTCCTTCAACTTCACGACAAAGCGTTCAACTGCTTTCTGCCTTCCTGTGAACATCACATCGTCCACTTGGATGAGGATGCAAACCAAATTCTGTCCATCAGCTTGCTTTCCAAGGTAGGGATTCACCATTTTTTTTCCACGAGTACGGACGCCGTGTGGGCATGGTGCCCAGGTCATCATTGAAGGAGGGGAAGTACAGTCAGATGGGGGAGAAAAGGACAAAGACAACCCAACAACAAGCCAAACAAAACCAACCACAGCCCACAGGCCGAGACTCCACCATCAAGTAGTATTTCCTCTGTACTAGGGTGAAACAAGTGAGACGATGACTGCTGACTGTCTATGGGCCTGAATTCACGAAAGAAGAGCATGGCAGCGAGGGTTTGTGCTCTAGCAAGATCTCAAAGAAGTCGTCAAATGGACTTCACATCACTATCACCAGTGACCAGCGGCCACTGCACAGAGTGGCAAAAACCTGGTCACAATGCAAGTCCCGGGCATTGGTATGCTCTAACGCAGGTCTGATCCTTGCCTAAGTGGATCAGTGGTTGCTATGCAGATCATGCCGTGGAAAAATCCTTTCTTGTAGCACAACCCTTGCAACTGGTTGCACATACAAGAGGCACAGAAGTTGGTAGTGTTCAGGCAGTGGCGGCCATAGCAACGACGAAAGCCTGCAGGTAAGGGTGCGAAAGTCTCACCCCCCCGAAGGGAGGTCATCTCGGCGCCCTTCGGCACACAAAGGTGCCAAAACGGGGTGTGCCCAAACTTTGAGAAATGCTGCGTCATTGCAAAAGCATCGTTCTGTTGCGTGCAAGGCCCGTGTGACAGGTGAGACCGTGGACCTATCCTGGCATGGTATATGTACCTCTTTGTACAAAATTGGCAATGTCGGACATCAACAGAGGGAACTAAGGTTCCCCCCTGGGCATCCTCCATTGCCACTCTCTACCACCCGCCTGTCGGGAACGAGGAGCTAAGGCTCTCATTCCTATTGGCTCACTGTGTCGTGAAATGGCGAAAAGAAATTGACGACCCCGCTCAATGTTTGCACATTTCACTTGACGTAGGGTCGGGCACATGTCCCTCGCCATGTTTTACGTTTTTCCTTGCTTGCATATTGCTCGAAGTTGCGTGCAACCTGCAAAAAAGCGCATCGCGCCATGCAAAGCAGGGCTGGTGGAAACCTCCTGTAGA